CTCCTCCTCCTCCTCCTCCTCCTCCTCCTCCCCCCCTAAGATGGAGGGAGGGCGGCGCGCGGCGGAGCTTCCGTCGCGGCTGCAGCCGCGCGCTGCGCCGCCAGCGCTGCGGTGGCAGCGGTGCCCTGCTCAGCCAGCTGCGACAGAAACGACGACGACGACGACGACGACGACGACGACGACGAAGACGACGACGACGACGACCGACAACGACGACGACGACGACGACGACGACGACGACGACGACGACGACGACGACGACAACGACGCGGGACAGCGACGACGACGACGACGACGACGACGACGACGACGACGACGATGACGGACAGCGACGACAACGACGACGACGAAGACGACGACGACAAGCTGGCCCACAGAGGCCCCCAAGACGGCTGCCGACGGCGTCTGACGGGCCAGGATCGCCCGCTGACTGCCAAGAGCTTCCCAAGGAGCCACACAAGCCCCTCAGAGGCCCAAGGAAGCCCCCAAACGGCCTCCAAGAGGCCCCCAGGAAGCTCCCAAAAGGAGCCAACAGTGCCCCAAGAGGCTCCCAAGAGTCCTCCTCCTCCTGCTTCTCCTCATCCTTTTCCGTTTCCGTTTTCTCGTCCTCCTCCTCCTCCTCCTGCTCCTCCTCCTCTCCACCCTTTTCCTCCTCTCCTCCCCCTCCGCCCCCTCTCCTCCTCCTCCTCCTCCTCCTCCTCCTCCTCCTCCTCCTCCTCCTCCTCCTCCTCCTCTTCCTCTTCCTCCTCCTTTTTCCTCCCTTTCCTCCCCTGTTTTTCTGCCCCAAGTATTCCCCGACGGGTTTCCACAACGGCTGGGAGAATACATAGTTCGATACTTTGTCCGAACTCTGGCCGCAACGTTCGGCCACATAGGCGCTTGGAAAAAAAACAGCAGGGGGCGACGGTGACTCGCAGGCGTGTTCGACTCTTCCTCCCCCTCATCCTCCCCTTCCTTTTCCTCCTCCTCGTTCCTCCTCTCCTCCTCCTCCTCCCTCCTCCTCTCCTCCTCCCCCTCCTCCTCCTCCTCCTCCTCCTCCTGCTCCTTATGAATAACTCGTCCCTGTCGTATCCCGAAGCCAATCGAAAGGGCGGGCCCAGCGTTTCGCATGAGTTTCCTCAACAAATATCACCCTGAAGCTTGAAACTTGCAACAGCTTCACGGATGGAGGGCGGGAGATTTTCAAAAATGTGGCTCTCGCATGAGCGCCGCGAACCTTCCTCTTCAATTACTCAGACGGCAGGACCCCACATAAGAATCGTCTCGCCAATCTGGAAATAGCCCTCACCGTCGTCCTGGCGATTAGTGAGGCGCCCTTACTGTCTCCTCTGCGTCATTTTCCTTCTCTCACTGGCGCGGAACCTCCTCCCGCGCCCTATGTTGCCCCCTCCTCGCCCTCCTGTTTTTGTTCACGCCCCACCACCCCCTCCCCGTTCTAAGGCATGAGCGCGCATGTCGATGTTCCTCGGCGCCGTCGGCGCCTCGGCCAACACGGGCGCATTCTCTAACGGCCACATCGCGCAGCCGTTTGAACAACCAAGGCCTGGCCTGGACGCAAGGGTCTCCCCCTGCGCCCGACTCGGCCGTCGATGGGTTACCACCGGCGGCCCAGAGACAAAAAGGGTTACCCCTGCCCCCGATTCGGCCTTTGATGGGTTGCCACTCCCAGCCCGGACGCAAAGCAAAGTGCTACCCCTGCGCCCGATTCAGCACGGTGGGTTACCACCGGCGGCCCAGAGACAAGGGGTTACCCCTGCCCCCGATTCGGCCGAGGATGGGTTACCACACCCTGCCCAAACAGGCATGGAATTGGATGACCCGCTCGGACTAATGACATGAGCTGCGGGCCCCATAGGGAGGGAGCTCCCGCCTGAGACTTCCGCGAAACTCACTCAGAGACAAGGCCTCCGCTTGATACTTCCCCCATGTTCAAGTATGGGGACCCCAAGTGACGACTTTTACAGAATTTGGATGACCCGCTCGGAATAAGAACATGAGCAGCGGGCCCCATAGGGAGGGAGCTCCCGCCTGAGACTTCCTCGAAACTCACTCAGAGACGAGGCCCCCGCTTGATACTTCCTCCATGTGACAACAGTTACAAGAATTGAATGACCCGCTCGGACTAGTAACATGAGCTGGTGGCCCCATGGGGAGAGGGCTCCTTCCTGAGACTTCCTCGCAACTCAATCAGAAACGAGGCCCCCGCTTGATACTTCCTCCATGTGCAGACATAAGAACCCCAAAAGTGACGACAGTTACAGGATTCGGATGACCAGCTCCGATCAATAAAATTTGCTGAAGGCTCCTGCCTGAGACTTCCTCCATGTTCCCTCGGGGGCGAGGCTCCCGCTCGAGACGTCCTCAAGATGAATGTCTTCGCGTGTGAGTGATGACGATGGTGGTGGTGATGATGGTGGCGATAGTGATGGTGATGAGGGCTCCCGCATAGTAGACGATGATGATGTGTGATGGTGATAGTGATGGGGATTTTGGTGGTGACAATAAAGTACCGTCCGATGATGGTGATAGTGGTGGTGATGATAATAACGATGCTGATGATGGTGCTGAGGATGGTGGTGATGGTCCTGGTGATGGTGATGAAAAGTACAGTCGCATGATGGTGATAGGATTGGTGGAGACGACTATGATGATGATGATGATGATGACGACGATGATGGTGATGGTAATGATGGTGTTGATGGTGACTGGTGATGATGGTATGAGGTATTGAGTGAGTGATGATGCTGTTGTGAGTGATGATGAAGAGGCTGATGGTGTTGTGATGGATGGTGTGCGAGTCATTGAGTGAGTGTGCGAAGGGATCAGAGGAGAGGGGGTGTGAAGAGGACTGCGCGGAAACAAAAACCCCTCTTAGAAAGTGAGGACAAGTTGTAAGAGGTTCGCGGGTGAAGGGTGGTCCACTTTCAAAATGTGGTTCTCGCCTTAGCGCCGCGCACATTCATTTTGAAATATTGCAAGATGTTCGCTGATTGAGGGCGACTCCTCTTCCTCCTCCTCTCCTCCTCCTCCTCCTCCTCATCATCATCATCATCATCATCATCATCACCACCACCACCACCACCATCATCAGCATCATCATCGTCATCATCATAATCAGCAGCGTCATCAGCATCATCATCAACAACATCATCATCATCATCATCATCATCAGCATCACCATCATCATCAGCAGCATCGTCAGCATCATCATCATCATCGTCATCATCATCATCATCATAATCATCATCATCGCCATCATAATCAGCATCATCAGAGTCATCATCATCAGTGGCAACAGCAGCAACAGTAGCATCAGCATCAGCATCCTCATCATTATCACCATCATCGTCAATATCGTCAGCATCGTCAGCATCATCACCAACATCATCATCGTCACCATCAGCGTCAGCATCATCAGTAGCAGCAGCAGCAGCATCAGCAACAGCATCAGCATCAGCAGCAGCATCATTTGCATCAGCGTCATATGCGTCATCATCATCATCAGCGGAATCAGCATCAACAGCATAGTCAGCATCATCATCGACAGCGTCAGCATAGTCAGCCTCATCACCATCAGACTCATCCGCATCAGCCGTATCATTATCAGCAGCATCATCACCATCACCAGCACCAACATCATCATTGTCAGCATCATCAGCATCATCATCAGAATCAGCATCATCAACCTTACCACCAGCAGCATGATGATCATAATCATCGTCAGCAGCACCATCATCATTGTCATCAGCATCGTCATCATCAACATTAGCAGCAGCAGCTCCATCTTCAGCATCACCCTCAGCAGCAACATCATCCTCATCATCGTCATCAACATAAGCATCAGCAACAACCGCTTTCGTCTCCACATCATCACCTTCCCCCTCCCCTTCCTCAGCCTCCTCCTCCTCATTCACCTCCACCTCCTCCTCATCCTCATCCTCCTCCTCCTCATCCTCCTCATCCTCCTCCTCCTCCCCCTCCTCATCCTCCTTCTCCTCGTCCCGTCTCAGCGCGCACGGGTTCGAATTGGTGGTACCGCCTCCTCCTCCTCCGCGACCTCCTCCTCCTCCTCCTCCTCATCCTCCTCTTCCTCCCCCTCATCAGTTTCCCCCTCCTCCTCCTCATCCTCCCCATCCTCCGCTTCCCGATACTACGCCTCGTCATACGCCTCCTCCTCCTCCTCCTACTCCTACTCTTCCTCCTCGCCCTAACCCTCCTCCTCCTCCTCCTCCTCATCCTCCTCCTCCTCTCCTCCTCCCCCCATCATCATCATCATCCGCCTCCTCCTCATCCTCCTCCTCCTCGTCTCCTCCTCCTCCTCCTCCTTCTCCTCCTCCCCCTCCTCCTCCTCCTCCTTCTCCTCCTCCTCATCCTCCTCCTCTCATGTTCCTCCTCATCATCCCCCTCCTCCTCCTACCTCTCCTCATCCTCCTCATCCTCCTCCTCCGCCTCGTCCTCCTCCTCACCCTCATCCTCATCCTCTTCCTCCTCCTCATCCGTTTCCGACTCTGCCGCCTCCTCTGCCTCCGCATTCCCCTCCGCATCCCCCCCCCTCCGCGTCCGCCTCCGCCTCCGCCTCAGCTTCTGTTTCCTCCTCCTCCTCCTCCTCATCCACCTCCATCTCATCCGCCTCCTCCCCCTCCCCCCCCCCTTCTCCTCCCTCCTCTTCCTCCTCCTCATCCAAATCCTCCTCCTCCTCCTCCTCCTCCTCCTCCTCCTCATCCTCAGCATCATCCTCCTCATCCTCCTCCTCATTCTTCTCCCCCTCGTCCTCGTCCTCGTCCTCCTCCATCCCTTCTCGTCCTCCTCCTCCCCTCCTCCCTCCTCCTCCTCCTCCTCCCGCCTCCTCATCCTCATCCTAAATCTTCGTCATCATCCTCCTCCTCATCCTCCTTCTCCTCCTCCTCCTCCCCATCCCCCTCCTCCTCCGCTTCCTCCTCCTCATCCTCCTCATCCCGTTCCTCCTCCGCATATTACCAGTACATGCCTAGGGTAATCGAGTGATAGTAATACTACCGTATTATTCTTACGCGTACCATTAATAGCCGTAATAGCACTACTCGTGATGCAATGTGTAGAAACAGTATGATGGTTAGTATTCATAGTATAATGATCATTTGTCGTGTTAGTGATGCTAGAGGTATGAGTATATGTATTATAAGCCGTAATGTGACTATTAGTCGTCTTAATATGCGTCCGTTACATAGTCGTCGTATGTGTAATGGTATTCGAAAGTCTCATACGATGGCTCTTATTAGTTACCGTAGTGTTGCTATTGTTCTCGTTAGCATGAACATAGCAGTCGGAATACACGTGTTATTTGTAATACTAGTGTCCGTGCCAGTAGTAGTATTGCTATTGGAATGGCTCCCACCATTAGTATTAATAATGACATTCGTCGTCGTCGTATCATGATTCGTCTTACATTGTGAGTGTGCTCAATGTGTGTATGCTTATTCTTGTTAGCATTATATACAGCCTTATTCCTCGTGTTATTAGTACTAGCTGTCTTACTGCTGGTCTTCATAGTATTGGTTGTAATGTTCGTGTTCCGCGTATTCGTGATACTCATCTTATGGATATCAATATTCTTCTTAGTCGTATGCTCATGATGATGTTTGATAATATTAGTGTTCATATTAAATGTTCCTTTTATTAGTAGACTGCTTTCTCGCGGCATTAGTAGTATTATGTTGTAGTATGCTTGACATTGTTATGTGTATTATTTTCTTTCGTCAGATCCCGGTTACGATTTACATCACATATCATTAGTACGCTTAATGATAATATTAGTAGTACCCCACTCTATACATACTCTTCTCTTACCAATATCACGAATAATGTGATGATGCGCATTGATACGATGAGTGTTATTGATATCGTCCTTCTGCTTCTTAATCAATAGTATTAGCATTCGTACTGATATTACTATGATACGTGTTCTTCTTATTACTATCATTCGTATTCCTTTTCTGTGTATTCGTAGTATCATTATTATTTGTAGTAGTATCAGTAATATGTGTATTCCTCTTAGTGTAATTATTCGTACTACTCTTGTTTAATAGTATTAGTTTTCGTGTTATTCCCCTACGTCGCATGATTGGTCTTCTGATTACTATTATTAATAATAATATCCATCTTCTTCTTTTCCGTAATATTATTCTTACTGTTATTAATCATGTGAGTAATATCAAGATTCGTATGATTGTTCTTCCTCCTCCTCTTCCTTCTCCTCCTCCTCCTCCTCCTCCTCCTCCTCCTCCTCCTCCTCTTCCTACTCCGATAACAACTCAATCACTACGTGGGGAGTGGGCCGAGTATCAGTAACACTTGGGCGGATTGGGACACGTCGGTGCTGCGATCGCCGCCAGAGTACGCGCGCAAACACCGGCAAGTGGGGCGGGGGGCAAGCCCACCCACAAACGTACGACCGTTACCGTTACCAGGGGGGGCGTGCAACAACCGTTACGCGACAAATTACAAAAAGGTTAAGACTGTTCGCTCTAATCGGACTGCGTGTTACTCAACTTGTATATCCCGAACCTTCGATACCTGGTCTATCCGCTTTCGATCGTACCCCCCTCGGGGCTATATTTTCCTTACCTGCCACATGAACTTAGCGCAACCCCTAAAACAAGGAAAAGAAGGGAGGACTAAAGGGACAAGAGGAGGAGGAAAATATAGAGGATGAGAGAGATTAGCAGGAGGGGCGTTAGAAACAGAAACACAAGCGGCAGAACCGGATGGGCGGGTCGACAGGGCGGGCCCAGACGGCCAGGTCGAGCGGGCGGGCCGCTAAATCATCAATCTTGCATGGATCGCAAGGAAATCTCGAGCGACAGCCAGCGCGACTTCCAGGTAAATTGGGAAGTCCACAGCAGGAGCGTGATTCCTGAGTGTCGAAAGCGTGGCGCCTCCATAAATTCGGAGGAAATTCCACGCGAGAGCGCGCTTCCTGGGCAAATCGTGAAGAAGTCCAGCGCGATAACGCGACTTTGAATGAACTGTGAGGCGATATCTGGCGGGGGCCGTTGTTTTTGTAGTTCGGGGGCCAGGGGGTAGCCTCAAGACTTCCCCTGGTCTAAAAACAGGGCGCAAACCTCGGGAAGGGCACTTCCACTGAAAAACAAATTGGGCACTGGAGGGAGGAATCAACAACAATTTCAATGATGTTAAAAGAGAATTCAACAACAGGCGTGTTGAATGAATTCGTTCACTCCACCGGCCCACGGCGCATCACTGCGGTATTGCTGACGCCCCGCGGGGTCTCTTGGGGCAATCGTTCGGGTCTCCAGGGGGCCTCCAGGATCTCGGGAACCGTGTTTGAGGAAAGGCTCGGCATGTCAGTGACGAATCTGGGGCGCATCAGGACTTCCGCGTCGTCCTGCTAGTCGTCCTGCTCTTCCCCGCCCTACTCCTCGCCCTCCTGCCGCACCTCCCCCGCCGCCTCGCAGACCTGAGCACGCCGCCGAGCTCCCGACGCCTCCCGAAGGCCCCCAC